GTATATTGACGCATCGTTGATCCAGGGGATTTATCGATGCCGAGGGCCGATTGCTCATACTTCCAAATGGAACGTTTCCAAACCTGGTTAGCCTCGCAGGAAACCCGGGTGGAACGACTTTAGAGATACACACCTTAAACCACTGGAGATCAACCAGTATTTTTTCCTTCGGAAGTTCATCCCTAGACTTCCCAATGTTCCCAAAACTAATGCTACTGTCGGTAAATGGGTCGCTATGCCGAGTCGTATTTGCAACACGTGTGATACGCACATCTTATAATCATCAGCGTAGGACATCAAATTCCATTTCCTTACTCGAACGAGATTGTTTCTGAAATCAAGTTATAGGCATTACCCTGGAGCGGATCCATGGTGGTGATTCGGATACCCTTCTATCGGATTAGACAATGTGCACTAATCCAAGCAAGAATAAGATTGCTAATTCATTGCTCCTATGAAATGGTATGAGTTTAGTAAGACCTTGTGAAGCTGCTGAAAAGTCAAGGTAGATGATAACCATGCCTTTCCCTGAATCGGTAGATTCAGCCTGGGTTTAACGAAATCTTAGACCTATGATTAGTGACCGGTTTTTAGTGGAGGCGGGGCTGCTGCTGCGCACTGATATTGCACCTTTCTAGATACCCCATGATTGCTCCTGCAATCGTAGCTTCCATAACCATAAAAAGCATCGGCGAGAAAAGTATCTGGTGGTATTTCAAGGGGGTGGCACTATTGCCTGGTTGTCAGTGTGCATGATATCTGTTCTTCTACAATGCTCGTAGATACATTGTTGGAAAAATTGTGACAATGGTTCGGATAAGCAAGTGCTTGCTACTTTCAGCTGCTTCTAACAAATATCATTTGCACTATTGAAACAATGGTTTATGACGGGTAAAATTGCAAAAGCTTAATATATCCCGAAGGATGGAAATAGAAAGATTTCACATTCAAGTACTACATACTCGGTAAAATAAATGCTTAGAAGTTAGGATTTTGTGAGTAAGGTGGATCATACCATAAGGACAAGTAAGTTATTATGGTCAGTGGTTAGAATAAACACAATCGGATCGCTCACCCGTCTGCGCAGCATTAAATGCGTCATTGTGGGTTATGATTCAAAAGACGTTAGTTAGCCTGAACATATCGCAAGATGTTTGCACACGTAACAAAGTGTAGAGCGTTCCATTCCATGTCCAATCGTTTTTTGAAGATAGCTGAAGTGGGGCACAGGCAACTGAGTTTGGAAGGGCGTTCCAGGAATGACACACCCGGAAAAGTCATTTATTCAATTATCTAGACAACTGTATAGTTGACTCACTTTCTGGCTATTGCCTCTGAGGTTGAAGGTGGGGCTGCGTTTCAAAAGGTGACCGGGGTTACTCAGTAGTTGGTGAACTAAAATGAGGTCTCCGCATAGCCGACGATAGAGTCTACTGAACACTGCAAGTTTCCTCAGCTGTTCCTGGTACGGAAGGTGGCGCAATCCTTTGACATTTTTCGGTACTCGACGTTTAGGTGTATCGATCGCTACGATGTAACGCATTAGCCAGGGAAGAAAAATATGGACAACGTATTCGACGTGGGGACGCAGGTAGACACTGAGCATTGGAGTAAAGATGGATGTATGTAAACTCCCGAGTGTCAGTAGGTGGTTACTTCTTTTTGAATGAGACTCGGACTGTCCGAAACAAGCGAAGTCGTCGTGCACCAGCAGACCGAGGTCAAGTTCTTGAGAGCTTCTCCGCAGATCGTGCGACCTGAGGTTGTAGGTGTAGGCGTTTCGATGGCGGATGTGGACAACGCTACACTTGTCCACATTGAATAGCAGTGCCTTCCTCGCCGATCAATTGCATGCCTCAACGAAGTCACGCTGCATGATCTCGTGGTTGTACATCCTTTAATTGCCCGCCAACCCTTAGCGTCGTCCGCAACGAGTAGAAATTTTAAGGTTCTAATCCTCGCTAGATCATTAGTGAAAACTAAGATTAGGCGAAGCCCAAGTACTGAGCATCGCGCATGTCGCACTACACTCGAGTGGGGTCAGACAGAACTTCCGGACTCTAACTTCCAATTGTCGTTCGCGGAGAGTTACCAATCCATCCTAACATTAGACCTTCGATGTCATAATGCTATAGTTTGTAAAGCAAGATACGATGGTCCAAGAGACGAAACGTTTTGCAACGTTTAATTAGCTAACTTTTGTACCATTGAGTGTTTCTGTCCAGTTTTGGGTGATATCAGCAGGTTCGTGGTACATAACTGGTGTTGTCGAAACCCATGTTGCTCCGGCGCCATGATACCGTAGCTTTCCAGGTAGCCTATAGGTGCGTCTGCAATGATCGCTTCCCTTACGTTGTCTCTGAAGCCTGACGAATTCGGTGTTTGAGCAAATTACTGACAAAACTTTGTGCGCTGGTGCGCATACAGGACAGTTCTTCCGAAACAGAAAGTGAGTTAGTGTATGTTAAGTCAAGTCTGAAGATTTTGATGACCAATGAGGGGTCGGCTACTAGTCCCTTTTAGAGCATTAGTCAACACTTTAGGACCGGTTGGACTATACGACTGCTCGCGGCTGTCAGGGCCATGATGGTAGTCCGTCTTCCAACGTATTCCCGTCAGATTCGGAGGTTGCCATTTGATCAGTCCCTTCACAGAGTTGCATGTGGGAAAATTCACCTATTTGGCTATTCTCACTAAAACATCAGCCACACATGAGCTGTATCTGCTGCCTTTAACCGAATTTCAGTAGGCTACCTTTGGCGTTAACTTGACCAGTTTTCCAACTGGTGGCAATAGATCAGACTGAAACATCAAGTTCATCAGTCGGGTGTAAATGGAAGTCTTTTCAACTGGTTAGCAAGGATATTGTCGAGGGATAGCTCCTGGCGGATTTAACCCATTACTCCTTGTCATCTTCATACGTTTACCTCAGAGGAGGAAGTATAAAGCATGAGGGCTCCGTAAGCAATGGTCACCTGATTTACGTACCTTCTCACGGCTGCAGCTCTATCTTGGACCTTCTTTCCAAGAGATGTCCAGAAGCATGCGCCCCTCATGTCATGAGTTATGCAGTCAAATCGACGATAGTAACATCGCCTTTGCGCTGTCCGCGAAGCTTAGAGTCACCCGGAGAAGTCGACGTTCGCCGTAATGCACTTCATTTGGGTAACGCTTGACCCGTCTCAGCGTCCTCGGCTCAACCGAAATGTCAATCGCACCACAAATGTATTTCGACTGGTTTCGGTCATGCATACGCATATGGTAATGGAATGTGATTCCGGAAAATTTGAGCACACGTGAGTTAAAACGCGTTATTTCATTCTTTTGATTGTCGACACGATAGCATCAGTTGATACCTTTTTAGCGGTTTGGTGAACTGTGGAACTTGCAGAAAACTAATGTTCCTTGATACTGACACCGCAGTCTGGGGTGTAATCTCCGGCTTTTCCATGAAGGCAACCTACCCGTACTGTACCTGGATTTTATCGCTGAGGGGCTGGATCTGTCTTTCGGATGCCCTCATCACCACGGATTTTGCCTGGACTGAACCGTTGAAACGAGTGGAGGCAAACACACTTGATGCTTGACCGTTTATGGGAGTGAGCTGAGCAAGGAGATTTGAAGACGCAGATGCTGCAGTACGGTTGGAGCCTTCGGCTTTCTTCTTTGTCCTAGGTATGAAGCTGGGTTAAAACTGGATAAGGTACGAGCGTGGCCATGTGCGCCTCTGAAGGTTCAATGCTTGTACTCACCTAATGCGCTTTTATCTCAGTTACACATCACACTTCTTCATAAGTACATAGTTGACAAGTGTTACTTTTTGATATATGGGAGCAAAACAAATTCGTCGGCTAATGTTTTTCTCTTCCTTACTTAGAATCGAACTATCTAATGCAGTTTGGACACGGCATTCCATCCTAAGGACTTTTTGCATTTTGTTGAAGTGCATACGCGGCGTTGCATGATGTTGGGATGCTGGCCATGTTTCTTTGGTCACCTGCAGATTGTGACGATAACTGCAGCTTCCGGGGTCAGCACGGAGACAGTGCTTAGTATCGGTCACAATTTGATCGTCCACACCGTGCGCGCTTGACTGCCTGGACGGATTGTTTGGCTGGTAGATCGGTGGGATCGGCTTACCGGCGAACCTGGAAATTAACATGGATGCCAAAGAGGGCAAACAATAGATCAAAAATTGTTCCGTTGCTGCTTTAGAACAGACCGTATATGATAGCATTAAGACATATTGGACGTCGCAGGGATTACTCTATCGGACACAGCAACACAATTGGTTAAGTAACCAAAATACAATATGCCTGTGTTTGTGAGTTTGACCACCAAAGCCGCAAAAACAGCTGGAATTGTTGGAACTGTGATCCATTGGCAATACTTCGCGCAAGGTGGCGTAAAGAATGGAGCAAATTGGTGCAATTCAAATGAGTTTCAGGTAAAAGTGCTGTTGAAAATTGGTCGTGGGAAAGCCACACTAACAATGGGGGCAAAATCGATGTGACCACAAAGCAACTTCTTTCATGCATTGCTAGAGTGAATACATGTTTCCGCAGCACACTTTTGGCCATGACGGAGTGGTGGCTAAGCTCTAGCAGTAGCTTGATTTGTGTGTGTAGGTCCTTTAACTCCACTAATTATATCTTTTCACTGCGGAATCTTTTTCCTTTGTATTTCCACTTGCTCCTACTTTTGCATTCTCTCTCCTTATTCTCTCCTCCCTACGCTTTTATTATCACTTCCATACCAACAAAGGAAACCACTAGTTTTACTTTCCGGATCAGTACAGTCTCTTGTAGAACTGTTTACACCGTTCAGTGTCTAGTTATACGCCCAATCTATTCACCGCACCCGGTACACCTCCTTGTGTCATTATCTTTCTAGGCGTGCACTGTAGACAATGCACTTACGCGTAGGCTTTGAACGTGCACACACAAAAAGAAGCAGACTTTTTTAGTGTTTTATTTCCATTTTCGTTCTTTGCAATTGAGGCCTTCAATCCGTATGTCACCGCAACGGCTGAAAATGCAGACGGCGTCAGTAAAACCGTGATGAAAACTGCCACTGGTACTCAGCGAAAACTCTCGGAGAGACGACCATCGCTATGGCACTTACCAAGGCCGTTCTCTCGTAAGCCACCATTGCTACGTGACCTACGACTCCCACGCCAATCCTCGCCAGTTGACTCGTCAAGCAGAATGGAGACTTCACCAAAGCGATTGAAGCACCGCAGATTTACTGGAATAGTACGTTGAGGGTAATAAAGATTTATTTTGCAGATTTACCTTAACAATTCTCGCACTCATATAACCCTTTTCTTTTGGTTTCCCCTCACTCAGCGACACCGTTATTCACTTCGAAGGGCCTGTGCAGCATACCAGTTGGTTCGCGCAATATTTTCCCATCCTCAGGTCAATCTTTGTCATTTTTAAAGCGATCCGTAGCAACAAGTCAACCCTAAGCTCATGTTGCTGGCATGTCTTTCTCAGTAGCGTTATTCACGTAGCAAGGTACAATATCATGCTTACATTCTGCAGTTGCAGACGTCACCTCGGTGTGGATATGTAATCCGCATGGTATCGTCCTGCATTAATGAGTCACGGTCCCCAAATGCTATAGCTGACGACTTGCTGTTTTGGCACTTATTAGCGGGTGCATGCAATAAAAGAGGTAAAGTACATACACACTGACTCGTTCGTTTAATAATCTGTGGCGCAATAACCAAGCTCATCTCTCTGTGCGGTATCTCCTCATGGCTTTCGTTGTCGTCAGGGCACCACGCCCTCGGCCGTATGATATCAATTATTACTTTTTCTCAAGGTGTATCATAAGCGGTGTGCCCTCTCCCCCACCTTATGAACTAGATGGTGTGGATATCAGTAACGGGTTTGGGTCATTAAGCAGCGCCATCGTGCACACGCGTTAGTATGGTTTGGTTACTTCACTGTGGTTACCTCCGTTGCTTGCTTCTGATTCCAAATTGGCAGCTCTGTTTTCCCAGGCGGATCCGACTTTATTACTCTCGGGCTTGTCTTGTGAACTTATCGGAATAAACCGTAAGGCATTCTCGCGGACATTTGTTCTTAACCGCTATGTTGCCTCAGGGAACCACCGATTGGCCATCTAAGTCGAGCTGGTCAGCCTCGCAGTCCCCAGTCAATAAGCTCAGCACTTGTTCACCCGCAGTATAACATGCGACATACTAGCCTTCTTTTGGTAAAACTAATCGAAAGTTTTTCGCCCATCTCACGGGCTTCTCACTTTTATATATTCTGAATCCAGGACAAAAGTTGAAGTAGAAAGCGAGATGCATACTCTAATTGTGGAGACCACCGTGTTAACTTATTGCCCTATGACCTTAGTTAACAGCCTGTGTAGATAAACTGTCTTCTACACCCAAACTCAGTTTCATATAGCTTAAGGACAAGAACCTTTGCCCATTTAATTGCAGACATATCCGCCGGTGCTCCACCTTGTAATTGTGGTTTGAGCTGCTCTGGCGCAAACCTTTTTTACGTAATTACTTTTGTGGGGTAGTCGCACTAGCTTTCTGTTACGTGTTCAACCAATGATCGCCTCACTATGACCATAGACCTGATTGGCCCTACACACACACGTAGATAAGCACGCACACACGCACTCAAGGACACACCCTAACTTTCCGTGTTCACATGTAAACCGTTACGTACTTGCGGTTAGAGTCCAGCCGTGATACTTTCAATCCGGATTGGTTACCCATAAGCCTGAAATAGCACTATACATTCGTTTGGCCCGATCCGGACTCGTCGGTAGTACACAGCTGTCGGTCCCAACATTCGTAACATGCGTTGGAAATGGGCTATCGGTTGTGCCACATCGCAGCTGGTTTGCAATCCATGACGGTTCACTGCAATACCACATCGTTCAGTTGCATAGGTAGCTGGCTAGCAGTACAAGCCACTAGTGGTCATTGCTAGATGCCTACTACTGATGAGATTAGATAAGACCAGCTGACCGTCTAGTGCTTCTCCGGGTGGAGAACTACTCGACTTGGCGGCTGTTGCGGAGAACCCTCAGTTAATTGCGGACTGAACTACTACTGCAGGAATGGTTGTTCTTATCACCCGATCGTCTGCAAGTACCCTTACTCGTAGGCGCTGACTTCCTGAATGTTCACTTACTGAGTGGGACCAGTTGCCGGTTACTACTACCGAGCCGATGTTGATTTGTGTTTCCTAGCGGTCTCGCAATACCTCTAGACTACACGGTACCGGTAACTGTCCCACGTATGCGAAGAATCGATGCGACGTATCGGCTTGCTGCTTATACCGCCTATTCCTGCAAACACCACCGGCTGGCGTACTTCATTGTTAAAGCCTAACATATAAGCAATCAACTGAATACTGTTCGGTTTTCACCGTGCTATTGCGTCTTTGGTGAAGGTTCACTGGACGCTGATCCATCACTAACATACCTTAGTGCTATGCCAATGGGGCTGTCCATCCAAACTCGTACTGTCAATACATCTGTACGTCATGATCCAGTCACGCTGATGCGATGTATTTTACTGGAGTCGTGTAGTGCTTTTGTATCCCCTTTATTGGCCAATCTAAAAGGAGTCAGCACGAATAATGTTTCTTCTTGTGTGTTCATCCTTAATGGAGACTAATATTAGGGTTAAATGGCATGTTATCCGTGGTGACTATGTTACACAGAACGTGGCGTTCTCTCACCTTATAGGACAGGGAAAGTCGGTTTAATCGAGTCACAAGTTTGGCTTTGAATACCTCACAAAATTACAGCGGAGCAAATACCGAAATCCTTAATGCAGCGCATGTTAAGCGATGAACACTCACCTAACACGATTGTGCAGTCAAGTTTCAGATGTAGAGAAATTTCAGAGCTTCAAGCTGAACCAATTAGCTACAACGAAGCATTTATTTTTGGTTAGCATCAAACAGCAAAGATTAAATCTTTACTCGTTTCCCGTCGGTGCTTCGAGTTGTTATTTGCCGTTCCGTGTGCCAAGTTTTACTGACCTGGTGTAGTTGCGCGTCCGCATACGTGCGGACCAAGCGCCCCTCCCAGTGGTCCAATCGTTGACCGCGGCCCTAATCCAATGCCGTCGTCGGCACTCCCACTGCTGACATCCACATCGTGGTATCAGAGCTTTGTTAGTCTCATCAACCTTCCTTCTACTGATCTTCCCGAGAATCCAGGGGGCTTAAAGATGTCCGATTGCCTTGACTGGATAAGGCAGAGTTAACGAAAAATGTACACACCTGGAACAGTTTATAACTCGGTAAGTTACCTGTCTGAAGATGGATTTTCAAATGAATGCTCCGCAATTGTCATAAAACACGGTTGTACCCTCCATTGCTCGTTTGTATTGAATCAGTTCGCGCGCACCGGTGAGGCACTCCACGCTCTATTTCGACAAGAAACTCCGGCCCGAAAACAGTCATTACGTCGTCAGTCTCAACACGACGATCCCGAACTGATGTATTTGGAGTGGGGCGCTGGACGGCGTGAAACTAGGGTCTACGTGAACAATGCATTCGAGGATGATGAAAATTTGCAATTAGCGTTAAAGTAAGTGTCAATATTTGTCACACTTGCTGCACCAAACGATCCACTTTTGTTACTGTGCTGCAATAAACTGTTAGTCATGCAGCGGGCGTGTTGCGCATACACTCCGGTGGTTACTTTTCTACTGTAGACCCTTGGCATAGTATGTGTTATTGATTGAGCTGTGTTTGTTGCTATTAGCAACCAGGAATGAATACGAAAGCCATACGGTACCGGTAGGTTGAATGCATGTCATTTCCTAACAATCCTGCTCGCAATTCTAGGCGCTTGGAATGTCTAATTTCCTAAGGTATGCTGTAACCACTTTCCTTGCGTCAGTGAGAATGTGCGTCAGTGGCAACCATGTAACTATTTCGTTAAGGAAGAACGCGATATCAACAGTTTTGAAGTCCGGATAATTAATGTTACGCACTCCGATCCTAGACGAATTTAATGATTTTATTTTAATTGAGGGTTCCCAACCAATTCCTCTGGTTTTCTGTTGCTACATCGTCACTCATACAAGATGGTCCTGTGATAAGAAAGTACTAATATATATTCTTTTGCAGCTACTTGTGGTGATGGTGTTAATTCCTCCAGGGTTTTATTCTAACAAATGCTTTCACTGACCATTGTATTAAAACCCGTCTATTCCATTGCAGATTATTTAATGTGGAATCCGTCTTTTTATGTCTACGCATCTTCATATGCACCGTTGGTATGGCCAATCCGATCTCGATCCACTAGATGACATTCCAACTCAGGCCCATTTGGGCTGCGTAAAATGGCCGCATTAGCGTACCAACATAGCAAGTAAAGGTGGCTACTGTCCTCGTTATCGGTTGTTGCGTCTGGGGTGTGTGCAAAACGCCCATTGATCTTCGCTTACGACCAAGTACATAGCCACTACTTGAAACCGGAGTCCGCTTAGAGGTTATGTGTTAGACACCATCACTTTAGAATCAGCTACATCTAGTCGCTTTTACACTCCCCATTGTGGGGTCGCTTGTTCACCTGAGTAATGCGCTTTTGCCTAACAATGCCATTAGTTTCTAATTAATCTTCACCCTTATATGCAGTAGTGTAAGCTAACCTTATAGTCTGTGATACAAGGACAACCATATAACTAGCGCATGGGAAACACTCTTGAAACATTGGAAATTGTCAACACAATCCTGCGCTTCTCTTCATTCACCTTATCGAAATATGGATTTATAACTTTTACTCTTTGCAGCTCGTTCTACCTACTTCAATGGTTCATAATTGTGCACCGCTTAAAACGGATTGAATGTCCTCGACTTTTAGTTTCCGGATATCCTTAACTGTTCGGTCTGTTCATCTCTGACAGTCACGAACATGACTAAACTAACGGACGACCTCAGACAACTTTGAGGTGCTCACGAAATTTGACTGTCATTAGCTGGCCGTCAACTCTAATGACTTATTATGTGGTAGGCGTTCGGACAGGTTGTGCTCAAGTACCATTTTCAGACTAATTGGAATTTATAATGCAAGTTGTCGAGACCTTACTGAATCCTCACTCATTACGCTACTGCTGTAGTTCCAGGATAAATACGAAATCTTTACTTCCGTGCCGACCGGAGTATAATCCCACTTATAAGTGTGAGAAATGATTAGAATAGTTGGACAGCACGTGTGATACCAATTCACGACCTCTTAGGTTTCAAAAACCTACAAAGAACCCTAACTGGTATACGACCACCGGACAATCGAGAAGTCACCGTCAGAGTTGAATTAAGATGATATGTACAAACCACACAACATTACAATCAATACTCCAAAAATATCCTCGAAAATAGCTACACACAGTTGTTCGCTACGAAGGTACGCAACCATCCGGTTGTACAAAGACAGCACAATGAATTGACGCTAACGCTCATGTACACATCAAGCCAAAGTGGTCTCAGCAAGGGGACAATCAGGAAACCATCGGTTAGCGGTCAGATCACACAAGGCTAAAATGAGCCTGTTGATGGGGACATGAACAATGAACAATGACTTATCACGTGATAAAAACAAGTGCTTGACACGTCCCGTAGGATGGTTGGAGTAAATATGATGAAATCAAAATATATCTGAGTCATCTATAGAACGTCTGCCGTGATGAATACTTTGATAAATAACATTAGTGTAAAATTAAAAAAGTCGAACGTAAACGTTCAGAAATACACTGGGGTGCAGTGACCGTTGATATAAGGCCTGAGAAAAGCAAACCATGGTCGCTCACTTGGGCCCATTTGATACCAAACTTCTGTAGAAAAGCATGCTTGGCGTAATCCATAATAAAGGAGTTTAGGTAACAAAATGCTGGGAGCTAATAGTAACATCTAATTGTTTTTCGAAAACGTCCAAGGTAGGGGAGGATACAACTGAGTCTGGGAGCGCATTCCAGGGTTGGCAAACCCGAAGGGAAAAGTAATTACGCCGACACTCTAGACGGCTATAGTGTCCCTTCAATTTTAAGCAGTTACCCCCGATCTGTGTGTTGTGGCTAAGTTTCAGCAAATGGTGGCATAGGTGTTAGGGGTCACTCAATATCTGCTACGCTAATGTGAGATCGCCGCGCAACCTTCGATAGCGTCCGCTAAAAATTCCCAGCAACCTCAGCCTTCGGTGGTAAGTGATAGCGCAGGCCCTTTACATTCCTTGTTGCTCTTCATTATGGTGCCTCTAACGGCTTTAAGTCGCGCTTCAACCAAGGTTGCCAAGCTTGGAATGCGTATTCAACATGCAGGCGCACGTAGGAATTGTGCATCATTGGGAAAATTGATGGGTCACATCTTCCGAGTGCCCTTGGCAACATGCCGAAGTGTTGGTTGCCACTTTTCGCAGCTACCTCAGCCTATTTGGAACAGTTGAGGTCGTTCTGTACGAGAACGCCAAGGTCACGCTTCCGGGACCTGGTCTGCAGTCCGTTTATCCCAAGCAAATATGTGTAGTTATGTCTATGGCGTAATTGTACAACGCGAGATTTGTCTACGTGAATGGCAGGGTGTTTTGAACTGACTAGTTCGACACTGTGTTAAGATCGCACTGGAGCTGTTCGTGGTCGTCCGGTCCTCTGATCCTTCGCCATATCTCGATATCATCAGCGAAAAAACAGGAAATCGGAAGCAACTGATCTCGCCAAATCGTTAATGAACTCCAAGAGACGAGGTCCAAAAACCGAGCCTTGTGGTACATCACACACAACATTGATTGCATCGGATAATGATTCTCGGACTCTCATCTCTAGTTGTCGTTCGTGTAGAAAATTGCTAATCCAACTCATGATTGGGTCCTCGATACTGTAGTTCTAAAGCTTCTGAAGAAGAATTCGATTGTCTAAGCGATCAAATGCTGTTGAAAAGTCCAGGTGGTTGACATCGACTCCTGCTCCATCATCAACAGCTTCAGTCCAGCTATTATGTGCAATTAATAAGTTAGTATTACACGAATGCTTTTGACGAATGCCATGTTGCTCTGGGGCTATTAAATTGTGGCTTTCCAAGTATTCCATAAGCACATCTGCGATGATTGATTCCATCTCTTTAGGTAATACAGGAAGTGGTGTTATTGGACGGTAGTTGGAAGGGTCAGTGCGGCTACCTCCTTTATGTATAAGACTGATGACCCTTCTCTTCCATACTGGTGCAATATTTTTTCTTCTATACATGGCTGATAGAAAATAGCCAGTGGTTCTGCTAGATCACTAGCTACCACCTGCGGAGCCTTTGGTCGGATGTTGCCGACTCCAGGAGAACTGTGGATACGCAAGTATAACAATTTCTTCAACACAGCTTCCGCAGTGCAGCTGATGTTGTCTAGACCTAACGGTGGAGTAATAGAAACGAGGCGAATATTTGGCCCCGTTACCTGCTGAAACGTTTGGGCGTAATGTAGCCTTAAGAGATCAGCTGCTTCCATTGCTGATCGCGTGTATCCATCAGCCGTGACTAGTGCTGGAAACCCACCCCACTTCACCTTTCCAAGGCCGTTAACGTGCCTGTACAGAAGTTTGCAGTTCGTGCAGAATCGTTTCATTAACTCCTGCTGATGCGTGACCTTGTCTTCACGGATCGGTTTCGCACAGAAGTTACGATGTGTCACGTATGCAGTCCAGATTTCGGCATTCGAGCAGTCCTTGTGATCTAGCCATGCCAAATCCCTCCGGGACATACGTTTACGTGTTCTACTCCTCAGAAATGATTTATGCTTTTTTGGGTTGGAGGGACTTCTGTTTCGATGCGTGCGCAACCATTGTGCTAAACGTCCTTGTAAACGTTTCCCAGACAATAGCTGGGGACATTCGGTTAAGAAAGTCCAGAATGTATCCTTAACATGCTTAGATAACACACCGTAGTGCATAACAGGATGCAGTTTATCATCCTCCTTTTCAGGATACTCCGCAGCGCAATTATAGTCAAAGAGTAGAGTAACATAGTCACTACGACCCTGTGGTGTGCTTGTAACTATCCCGTTAACCATGAGTTCTTCGTTAGTGAGCACAAGGTCCAGTATCGATGGTTTGTCAGCAGTTCGAAATCTGGTGGGAGAGGTTACATTGTTGTACAGAAAGTGGCTAGCAAGTAGCTCTTGCAAGCAGGCTTTGAACTGCTTTGAACTGGATGTCAACTTTGTGTTGGTTTTTAAGCCGGCTGCTAGCTGATCGGTCATTAATCCTTTTTTGGTTTATGAATTTCAGTCAAGTTGCAAGGTATTATTGAGCGTTTTTGAACAGATGTTTCACTCGTGCTGTGCTCTGTCCTGCTGTGTTCCGTGGGTGCTGTTGTATCGGTCTCTCCGCAGGACTGTGCAGATAAAGAATTTGCAGTGTTTACAAATTCCATCGAATTGCTTCCGACATTTGGTCGTTCGCCTGCTGCCTTTAGCTGGATCCCTGTTGGCAACCTAGCTCGAAACTTTAACCAGCTGTCCTACAGAACTTGCATCATTCTGTCTAAGTGTAGTATTAGTTTCATTAGCCTTGGACCGCAGCCCTTGTAGTTAGGTGATGACGGAACACTTGTCAGGGATTTGGCAATACCATTATCAACAGAGAGTGCTTCGCGGATGTAGCACCACTGCTCTCGGTTATGCCTTTGCACAGCGTGATTAGAAGAATGCAGAAGCTCTGGAACACTATGAACAAATATTGTTTTCTTGCTATCCCTATAATGAAAGCCGCGTTGCTCAACTGCTTCTTTTGGGCGATCTTTCCAAGGTAGATCAGGTAATATGCGCACTCCGCTCAGTGAGTTGCGAAGACGAACTGCTGAGAACAGAACAGCCTCTGTCGCATCTGCTGAGTCTACTGTTACTCGAATAATTCGAGGTTCACCAGATGGCATTGAGGTCGGGTGACGCGCTACGTGTTGCAACATTTCAGGCTCAACCCGAATGTTAATTGCCTCGCAGATGGAACTCCACTGAAACAAGGACAAAGACACTGGCGATGTAGCGCCTGGCGAATCAGACGTAGGCGCTGGGATAATGGGCGAGCAGGTATGTCCATGATACCGTCGCAACGAGACTGGACCACAACGTGGTGCGACGGTTTGTGTACCTCTTCGACCCATTGAGCTGTACTGGGTGGTGCCCCCGGGAATATTGAGAGCTACTCCTACTAGGTTGGTCAGTGCTTAGAAATCAGCAAAACTCATTCGCCTGTTCCTCCAGGTTGGCGGTAGGAAATGGGATGGCATCAACTTCTGTAAAAATAAAGCAGTGTCACCTCCCCGCTGCCTTGCGACAGACTTTGAGCCCAAGACATTGGTTGAGAACCCTAATCGCCCTCCTCTCTAGGTCTGGGCGCCGTGGCCGTATCTCTGGCCACGTGCAAGTATGGTTATTTCTTCAGTATTTAACCATATACTGCGTCAGCCGTCGCGCATATTATCAACTGTCACCTTATCTGCGGCATATAGCAAGGTAGATAAGCGAAAATATGCTACTGCTGAAGCCCCCCTTCTTTCTTTTCTCGTTATTTCTCTTACTGCCCTCCAAACTTCCACTACTAACATTGATTTCACAATTCCCAGCTTAATTGGCAGCTGCTACCATGCAACTGGGTTCACAACATACGCAGCCACCTTCCCGCACCACTCACTGAAGGCATGCATGCAACAGTCCCTTAAAAGGCCACCCTGACTCGTTCCCCTGGCGGCGTCCAACGTTCACACTCTAAGACAAATAAGGCAAAAGGCTGCACTCACATGCACGTTGTACACACCTATGTAGTGTGTACGAAACCAGGATCAGGAACCCTAATGGGGTTGCTGAATTAACTGCGCCCGACTTGTCCTCTCGCTACTGGTTGCAC